GGCCCAGGGAGGCGCAGGAGCCCGGGGAGGACGCGGCGGCGGCGGCGGGCGGCGCACGAGGGGGCCGGGCCGGAGCCCGGGGCGGTATCCGGGTGCTGAAGGTGAGGAGGGGACCGACGCCTCCGCCGCTCCCGGCGGCTCGCTGGGGTCCTGGGGCCGGCGGCTGCGAGGCGGTGCGGGCGGTGCTCGCTGCTCGCTCGGTGCGGCGGCCGGGCGGGCCCGGGGGTTTGCCGTGCGGGAGCCCCGGTGCTGCGGCCTGTGCGGAGGGGCCGGGGCTGGCGCTGCTGATGCTGGGTCCGGCTGCCTTGCAGAGGAACGCCAAGCACAGCGGGAGCAGGAGCTGCCACAGCAGGAGCCGCCTTGGGTCCCGTGAGAGGACCTGGCTGAAAGGGGACGTCGGACGAGGCTGCGTCTATGTTTATGGAAGAGACTGTGCAGCTGCGGCTCCTTCGGACTTGCGCCTGGTCCTCTGCACAGTGGACACCCGRGCCTCGGAGATCTGTGATGGAGAAGAAGGGAAAAGCCTCTTTTTGCAACTTCATGGAGACCTGGTCAGGTGAGGGCTGAGAAAGGATAAACCTGACTGAGAAATGTTTTGTATGGGGTTGCAAGATTCTGTTCACCGTGTGCCTACACCTGTAGGCAGGGCAGGTAGGGAACAGGCAGAGGCAGGAGCTGGCAGTCAGCTACAGCCTTGAGCCATGCAATTCATAAAGATGAAGTAGTGGTGAAGTAGAAGTTACACACTTCATAGTTATGTGTTTTAACAGGGAGGGTTTAACGGTTGCTCCAGCCAAAAATACATCCTCATTTTCAAGGTAGAGGTGCCTGTTCRTATATTCCTTTTTTATTTTCTGTGTTGTGGGGATTTTAGCATCCAGACAGCCCAATGTATTTAGTAGGCTGTAAACAGTTGCTTTGAGTCAGCAAAATAAGTGTGGTACTGTCACAGTTATGTCATGTAATATTTAGGCATTAGTAACTTTTTGCTAAGAAGAGTTACCAGCTAAATAATTAAAGACAGGCAGTGTAGCAAGGGTTATATAAAAAAGGGTTAAGCATCAGATGGTATGTTTTATGATTGAAGTCAATTTAAGCTGAAAATAGATGGCTCAGGGTTTAACGTACATGAACTTTATGCTGATGGTGTGTTATGGACTGCTCTATCTTTACAGGCTCCTATTCGGTTTGTTAGGATTGAGGCTTTGCACTGATTCTTCTGGCCTTAAGATTCAGTTATAAGATTGCCTCTCCTGTTCTCAGGGGCAAATAATTGCTGTGTTCTCCTTACTTAAAGGCTAAGCAGTAGATACAATCCATTTTGAATGTGTATGTGCAGTTTTGTGTAATCAGTGCATGGATACAGGGAACAATCATGCTAGTTCTTTCAGAGTAGGGATAAACTTAAAAAAAATTTGGTGGTAAAAGTTCTTTTGAATCAAAGGAGACTTGCTCTGCTGCAAGAATAATTTTAAAAGCACCTTGAGCCTTATCTTGAAGAGGAGGTTTGAAATGTTTAGTGACATGGTTTATAAACTCTTGTTTAAAGAATAGCTGACAGTCAGGTCCAGTAACTGTAGTCTGGAGCTAGGCACTTCTGGATTCAAAATGGGGATTTTAATGGTGGACAATGAGTGGACCATTGGAGCAGTTTATTTTACCTCCTACCTAACATTTTCAGTTAAAAGCTTAATCTGTTACATTGTTTGTTTTTTTTTTTTCTAAAGTAAAACTTCAAATTTTGTAAGAAACTGTTGTTTTTATTGAGGCATGTCACAATTCAGGGTCTCTGGAAAAAGTGAAGAGAGGATAAAAAAAACATCTTTTCTGYTCTGAATATACTAAATCTGATGTTTCACAAAAATTTTCTCTTATTGCTGTTTATTCAAGCTAGTCACTGAATACTTCCTGTGTTCTGCCATAGTTCTAAAAAGGCCTTTAAAATGTACTGGTTGAGCTTACTTGCCAAAGCATAAGAATCTTGCCACTGATGTGAGCTGAAGAGAGTAGGAAATTTGTCCTTTTTTTTTTTTTTTKAGTAACTCTATGGAGAATTCTTCAAATGCTTTGCTCCCAGCTGCATTTGGAAGAAAAATTTMAGAGTTCTTTTGTATTTTTGAGACATTATATGTAGGGGTTTTTAATTACTTGACATCTGCATTTTGTACAGTATTTCTGGTTTTTGTGTCTTGTCATGGTTTCCTTCTGGTGCTCCTTAAATTGTGGGATGGAAATACTCACCATGAATTGTGTGCCTTGTAATTTTTTTCCCAATTGCTTTTCCTCTCAGTTTCTCTTCTGCAATGTAATTCACAAGTGCTACAGTTCTTAAGTGCTGCTTGTCAAGCAGGGAGCAGAGATCCAAGGATCTGTGCTTGCCAGACCTTTTCAGAGGAGCAGAGCAAGCCAGTGTGTCAGTATTCCTCATACATTAGCTGTTTTGAGACTTGTTTAACCTTTTTTGCATTCTCAAACTACTTTCTTGGATGTTTTGACAGGAGGCTGGAGCCCACAGAGAAACCCCTTCAGATTGTGTATGACTACTTGGCTGGGTTGGGTTTTGATGATCCTCTCAGAATGCAGGAAGAGGCAGCAAACTCTGATCTCAGCTGTATGATTCGCTTTTACAGTGGTAAGAAATGGTGTGTGCACACTGTCACTGTCCCTGTAGCTGTGAGCTGGAACTCAGCTAATGCCTAAGTCATCAGCCTSTTGGGTTTAGAGAGGGCTACATCAAGCACCTGCAATACTAGTAAGCATTTCTTAAAACATTTTCAAGATTAGTAGAAAAAAAAAAATCACAGTTCTGTGGTTTCCTTGATTCTGTCTATGGCTTGAGAAAAGACAGGTCCTCAGGAAGGCATAAGATTGCTCTGTTGTCTTCAGCTTCAAATCTTGTAGCTGTTGACTTAGACCTCCTAATAGGGTTAGAAACACATTGCAGTTCCGTCTAGATGTGCCTGAAGATTGTATTTACCAAAAATGTGTGGATATGGTSAAATAACTCCACAGCCTTTTAATATCAGAGAGCGAAGGTGCCAGCTGGTTAATAATGATGCACGCTGCCATCAGAAACCCAGGGCACTGGATTGCAGAAGCCAGACTTTGGAGTGTGGCCTGTGGAATTGCTTTGGGCAGGAGACCGCAGAGAACAGGCATAGGCCTGTGGGCCTTTGGTGCTAGCAGGCCGAAGGGGAATTCACTGAAGTTAAGAGGAAATATAAATAAGGGTGAAGAAAGATAATAAAGAAATGATTTCCTTACTTCTGAGTGCTTCACCTGTGTATTTTTTGCATTTCAGAAAAAACAAAATCAAAGATGTTTTAATGGAAAATTGTTCTTGTTTTGTGGATATTAGCCCCATAATACTTTTTTTCTTAGAATCCTGGGTCTGGTCTCTCAGCTTGGTGAAATCAACGCAGTTTTTTTTTTCTGTGAATGATTACAGTTTCTCACCGATAAAGGACATCTTGTCAAACTTCATGTCGCTGAAACAAAACTATTGTTGTAAATAACTAAATGTTTCTGCTCAATCCAGCCACCACTGGACRTTGAGACACTGCTTTAGATTTGGCAAGCTGAAGATACTCCTGTCTAACTGAGAAACAGTTTTACAGCTTTAGTCAGTAGTTCACTGTTTGCTCCTGATAAATGTTTGATGTATGGTTTGTGTCTGGTTCCCTATTCAAGCTTGTTGTGTGATCACTGTGACCTAATCCACATAGCACCAGTTTGAACATCCAGCCCAGCACCCCAGCAGGGCTTCCAGGAACAGCTGGACCTCAGTGCCAATCAGTTCTGAAGCAGCTCARACCYCTTCATTGCTGCCAGTGTGGCTTTCAGTTCAGAGTGGTGTGGGCTTCCAGTCCTCTGTAACCCTGACTCCAGAAGCTGAATGTTGACCTTGAGTGTCCCTAGTGCTTGCAGCAGAGGCTGTTCTCCCTGACTGCAGCGTAGAGCACGTTTTACATCATGCCCCGTGAAGTCTGGATCAGTCCATAGCAGATGCYAGGGTTGGTGTTTCTACCCTTGAGGCAGTTCATCCCAGCTGTACTGGTTATCCTTCCAAGTGAAAATTAACTGTGGCCTGCACTCTGCCACCAAAGGCGTTGAGAAGAATGCATTCACAATATCAACTGTGGCACCACGGGGCTGCCTTTGACTGCACTTCTTACTGGAGATCCAGCATGTCCATTATGGCAGCAATTGGCAGCAGTCTTCAGTCCAGTTCAGTCTGAGTAGTTGCAGTGCTTGTCACACAGTTGGAGTAGCCACAAATATTTGCATCTCCCTAAACGAAACCTGAACCACATTTATGGTTCCTAGCAATAGGACCACACTGATTTGAACATCCCAAGGATATTCAAAATACCCAAAGGCAGTTGTAATTAACCTGGAGGAGAAAAAGGGGCTGTAGGTGTCCATTCCTTAGGTGGGCTCTCTGAGGAGAAAAGGCAAATGGCAACAGAGCACAGAGGTAAGGGCCGTGCTGAGCACACAGACCAGATTACAAAGTATATCACAATAACCTTAATCCAGCCCTTACAGAGCTAAGGTGGTACATAATGCAACCTTGAGAACAAGTGGAACAAAATAGAAGGAACAAATCAACACTGTGACCAGCTACTATTAAAACCATGCTGTAATTGCTTCTAGAACAAATTTGCTAGCACTCTGGTCAGATCTATCCTTGCCCTTCGTGCAGTTGGTCTGGCACTTAAAAGGACTGTTGGGGTTTAACCCTAGCCAGCCAGTAAGCACCACACATCTGTTCACTCACACACTGCTTCTCCCATGGGATGGGAAGGAAAATGGGAAAAAGGTAATACCTGAGAACAGTTTCATAATTAAAATAACAATAATTGTAATGAAAAGGGAAATAACAATGAGAGGAATAAAACAGAAGTGATACACTATACAGTTGCTCATCGCACACTGAGTGGTGCCCTTCTGCTAGCAGTGATCAGCCCTCCTGCCCCAGTTCCCTCAGTTTGTATRCTGAGGATGTTGTTCTACAGTATGCAATATCCCTCTTGCTACTTTGGATCGGSTGGCTGAACCATGGTCCCTTGCAGTTTCCTGTGCACCTGCTTACTGCAGAGTAACTGGAGTGACTTGGGTGAGCAGTGCTGAGCACCAACCAAAACAGCAGTGCGTTATCAACATTATTCTCACACTGAAGCCCTGTACCGTCTGCTAGGAAGAAAATGAATTCTATATCAGGCAAAACCAGGACAGTCATCTTCAGGGAAAGAACTTCCTTGCTGTAGCTGATTTTCCAGGCCTTCCTTGAAAGCCACTTATTTAATGGTTTCTGTGACTTTAGCTGACTCAACAAGAGTTTGAAATTGCTTTTCTCTTGTGTTTGAATGAAGGATATTTGGGAAGTGAGTTTGCTAAGGTTTGTAAGTAYGTGTAGATGAAAAACACACTGCATGGCAACCATTCTAACATTGTTTTGGGGGGCACACAATGGTGCTGCTCGGCTGTTCCCGCTCTGACTGAGGAAGTTGCTTGTCCTCTGCATGAGACTTCTTTTACAAAGTGCAATTTGTTCGTTACAAACAGCTGGTTTTCTATGTTAAATCTGTGTTGTACTCACAGGTGAGAGTGAAGAACATATGAACAATAAATGCTTATGTCCCCTTTTCCTTTAGAAAAGCCGTGCCAGGTGGAGCAGTTGGATCGCATCCTGCTCTCTGGAGTCTATAATGTGCGCAAAGGAAAGACGCAGCTGCACAAGTGGGCAGAGCGCTCAGTCACTCTCTGTGGTACGTGCCTCATTGTGTCCTCACTGAAGGACAGCCATGCAGGGAAGATGCACATCTTGCCTCTCATTGGAGGGAAGGTAAGGCTTTTATTTTTTTGTTAGCTCCCTGTAGCTTGGGGAGGAAGAAGAGATGGTAATGATGGGAATCTTCCACAAGAGGTTAATGTAGGCTTTTGTAACAAATCACTGCATTAATATGCCCAACACTTTTCTACTTGRTTTGCTTAGGTAGTAGTCTGAAGGCTAATGAAACAAAGAGACACTGGTTCAGCTTTCATAGCAGTAGCCAGTGTTGTGAATGGGCAYGCTGGAAATCACTACTTCTTGTATCCACTTCAGAAGAAAAAGCTTAAGCAGGATTTACTTCTGGATTTTGCCTCCGCTGACTTTGCAGCTTTATTTTCAGCAGAGTGTAATGTTACTGGTGGTCAATAATACCCCACTCTAGGCTTCAGGTCAATGGTTGCTGAAGCTTAGSCAGGCTGTTGTCAATTCTCCCTTTGCAGGTGGAAGAGATGAAACGTCGGCAGTACACCCTTGCTTTCACATCTGCTGGAGCACAAGCTCAAACATACCACATTTCCTTTGACACGCTGGCAGAGTGCCAGCGGTGGCACCGGCAGGCATCCACGGTGAGGCCATGGGGACASTGTGGTTTGGATGGTGGGGGATAGGGGAATGCCACAGGAAGGGTTTTCTGATTCAGGCTTGCTCTGTAGTCAGAGGTGAAGCTAGGATGCTGGAGAAAGTACCTAGGACRCTTTCCAGTTTTTTTAATTTCCTCTGTGCTCTTTACTAAGAGATTTTTCTTTTAGCCTTCTCTTTTCCTTTACTTGAATGATGATATCAAGCAGTAGTTCTGTGCTGTTTTAATCCCTGCTGCACCTGTGAGACTAACTTAATCACAGGTCATCAGAGCAAAATGCAGGGCCTGGCTGAATTTACAGCCATAGAAACCTAAAGACTGCATTTGTTGCCATACTTGAACCTACCTGAAGTGTGAGCTGGGCATTCATGAGGCTGCCCTGGTAGGGTTTGAGATACAGAGAGATCCTAGGTCAGCAAGGATGTTATGAAATACAAAATGACTTCAGGATAAAGTAGATCATAAAATGTCAAATTAAGCAGCAAACACCTCAAAACATTTCATGAAAGGGCACCTGAGATTCACAAAGATTTTATGAAAGGATGCAAAACCATAATTTATGAAGCCTTTTTATAACAAGTTATGTTTCAAATTTTATACCTTCAACAAGCTAATAAAAGAAAAATKTAGCTAAAAGTACAGAAGAAGCAGCTAGGCCAGGCAGAGGTTCTGTAAACATCAAAGAATTAAACTGGAAAATCAACTGCTTCCTGTTTCTCCTTGCACCTTTGGAAGGCACTTGGAGATTATGCTTTCTCAATAGTTTCCTCAAGGATCTGTTTTCCTCTATTASATTGGCTCTCTTGCTGCCTAATCTTTAGGCAGAGCCCAGTGCATGTCCAGAGCARGCCTTTTGGGTGAGTCCTGGCTGGTATGCAGCTATGCATCCTTGTCAGGGATGTACCAAATGGCATAGGCTCGTACCTCATGGACTCCATTTCCTACATGGACTCTACCTGATGGGTGCAAGGGGTTCTTTCATCTTCTTACAAATTGTTTGCTACTTGCATTCTTTGGCCTTCCATTAAATTTCCTGAGAAAATGTGTTGCACAGCTGCAGCTTTTTCTCTTTTCAGATTGTGTCTATGCGATTTAGCATGGTTGATCTTTCATGCTACAGCCTTGAGGAAGTACCAGAGCACCTCTTCTACAGTCAAGATATCACCTACCTCAACTTACGACACAATTTTATGAGATCAAGCGGAGCAGGGAGTCTTGACTCTCTTTGCAGGTCTGCAAAGAATTCTTTTTCTTCAACATTTGCAGTTCTTGACTTGTGGATACAGGAAAGAAGTATTGCCTGCTCTCTTGGGGATGGTAAAAAGATTGATCTTCAGGAAGCTCTAACAAGTGAGGGGGTTGGAAGCAGAACTGGGCAGTACAGGCAGGAATGAGCTTCCGACAATTTATAGAATTCGTGACCTCCCTTCCACAGATTCTGTGCTAACTGACCTGAGATAAACCTTGGGGGGTGACATGCCATTTGTATGGAGAAGATGCAATAGTAATATAAACATGMTTGCTAAACAGAGAACATCTTGGGGTACAAAATAAAGGGCGATAAAAAGCATAATGCTGCTGTTGTGAAGAAGTGTTTGTAGGAAGAAATTCAGGTCTGAAAAACGCTGTTTTGGTAAGTTCTTAACGTGTATTTGGAATTGGCAGAGGGCCTGTGAGACTCCAGCTTTGCTTTGGAAACTTGTGATGATCTGCTTTTAAGAGAATAGCAGTTGTGTGATGGTATGGAAGCATGATGTAGTCATCTTAGGTAAGTGAAGGAGTCTTGCAAAAATATTTTTAAATTAATTCCTGAAAATCATAAAAATCTAGAAGGAGATTAATTTGTTGCTATCTATACCAGCCATGCTACATAGAATTCAAAGAGTCCTCTGATAGAATTCMGAGCTCTCTGATTTTTGAAAGCTTATAGGAAGCCTATATGTCCAATGGCTCTGTTTGGAACACATTGTGCCTTAAGAAAAATATATTTGGAGAAACTTTGCAGAACTTTTGTGTTGTTTGTTTGTTAGTTTGTTTTGGTTTGTTRTAGCTGTGGTTTTGAGGTTTGATTGCTTTTGTCATTTTGGCTTGTTGGGGTTTTTTTTTGGTAAGGTGGGGCAGGGGCAGAGGCAGACAAGGGTATGCTTTTGTTTTCTTTGTCTCCAGGGGCCTGTTATTGTGTTTCATTTCAATTTTCTTTCTATGGAGTAATGAGATGCCCAGGTATCTATAAGAGTATACAGTGAAAAAAAAWTTATCACTTGTGGGAATTCTTTGCAATTCCATTGAGATCCAAAGTCTAGTCTGGTTTTCCAAGCATGTGTAAATTAKTTCTAATGCTGAATTGTAATAGATTCTATTACCAGAAAAACTGCTTAAAATAAGTTAAGATTTTGCTTTCTACTTCTCTCTTCAAATACATTGTATGATTTTGAAAACCACATCAGAACATTATTTTCTAAAATTTAGTATCCTTGGTTCACAGGATCAGCAAAGGGGCTTGAAATTTCTTTTAACTTTGCACGTAGTCAACAAGAAACCTGACATGTCAGAAACTCAGCTCTTTTCCTGACAGTGACTATGTCTGATGAAGCTGAAATCCTCAAACAAAAGCCATAAAGAGAAGCTCTCACTTCACGCAATCTTGAATAAACAGGTAGCATTAGGTAGCCCACGTAAGGCTGCTCATTGCCTTTTGAAAAATTTTTCTATCTRAGTTTTTTTAGGATGTTTCTACCGTTACAGCACTGCAGGAAGACCCTTGCTCACTTGCAGTAGGGTGCTCTCAGTGCCTCGAGACTGGCCATTCCCAGCAGCAGAATTTTTCACAATGATCACATTTCTTCCTCCGAGAAACTTTCAAGCTGTAGGAATCTAATTAGCTACATCTATAATAATGAAACAGAAATAATTAGCTAAAGGGAAAAAGTTAAGCAAAAGGCATTTAAATAACCCTACCTGCTTTGTTACATCCCTAGTTTATTTTTTATGTCACGTACTGCCTTTCAAGTATCTCCCGTGTTTGAAAAACACTCTGAGATTTGATCTTCGTTGATGTGTGTGTGTGTGTGTGTGCACACACGTGTATACATCTGCCTATCTCTTGTCACCATTCTAGCTAGCTGTACCGAATTGTGCTGAGGTGCTTTGGTGGCAAAACAGGATTTGTTAAACTGGGATTATTTCAGAGCAGCACCAGTTTGAGATGCTGAACAGAGGATGGTCATCCCATGGCAGGTCACTGCTCTGTTTCCATAGCTCTTCGCTCTTGTCTCAGTATGCCCTGGGAGAGCTCAGACCAAACCTTGAGGAGCTGCAACAATTTTGGGACCTTTATTCCCTATAATACCTGGTTCATATATACAGCTTGAATGAGAGTTGCATATTCATTCCATTCCTGCATCACTACGTGAGCTTTCTGAGGCAAAGAAAAAGGAACAGGAGAACTCAAAAGGATTTTGAGTGTTTTCCTCCTCATCGAGTATGGAAGTCTGCTTGAGGAATCTCAGATCAAGCTGTGTCATATACCAGTTTCCCTTCAGCTTTTGGAAACTTAAATGCCTCTCTTGTGCTTGCTTTTATGTTTTTACGGAGGGGTGAATTCTAAACATTAGTTGTGCTGTTGTGTTTAGTGCTGTGTCTCTCAGAGCAGCTTCTCACTACACTTCTAATGAGAGAGAAACACTGCTTTGTGCTAAGAACAGGTGTAGCAAAAGCCATTGCAGAGCTCCTGAGAAAGCAGTTTCATTAAAGCRTTTGCTGATTTCAAAGCTGTGACCTGTCCTAAATCCCTTAAAGCTGAACCAGCTAATGAGATAGTTCAAATCTTCAGGTTCATCCCCACTGTGTCATTCTTTTCCAATACTGTGGCGGAGTTCTGTGTGCAAGTTTCTGATTTTTGTGTCATTATTAGTTCTTTGCATTATGCAATGTGTTCCTTTGAGGATGGCTTTTACCAACACAGCATCTTTTTCTCTTTGGCTTTTATTTGCAATACAAGAGAGGCTGTGACTGCAGCAAACAAAAATGCGTGTGCCCTTATTTGTATGACGGGGTGCTCAAATCCCGTGTCCAAGTTTCAGCTATGTTCCCTCTTTCAAAAGAACAGCCACCACCCCTCCCCAAGGTTATAAAGCAAAATAGAGAAATACAATGCATAGCTCCTACACAGATCATTACAAGTATTTTGACTCAGAAAAAAGGTCACTATAAAGAAGAAAACAACTCCAAAACCTTTCAATCTTATATTTCAAGACATCTAAAGCTAGAAGTGATATTCTCCCWCAAGCTAATTAACCTTGGTTTTGCTGCCTATATTGAAACATCTGCTTCAAAATAAGAGCTACTCACCAATGCCTTGGAAAAGCTGGGTAGGTGAGGCAGATGAATATCTGTGTGTTTCCAAGAAGTAGTTCTCTGGTACATGGAATTTGCAGTTATCTTCAAGAAGTGAAATATTAATTTCCCCACTGAATTAATTCCTGGTGGTTCCAGTTTGGAATGAGGAGGCTATTACTTGAGGAAGAGTACTTTTTCTTCCTGTACGAAGAGACAGGAATTCTTGGAGAAGAACGGTCCTGTCTGTTACCCCAGCCATGCAAAGTTCCTTCTCTCTCTCTGCCTAGCATGGTGATTGAAGGAGCTAGAAATAGGTGACCATTTCTCAAGCGCTGGTGGGATCAGAGGTGACTGAAGGGCTGTGTCTGCACCCGTGGCAGTACCTGCAATACAGAGCAAGGGCCATTGTGGTTGTGGAGTCTTGTTCAAGGAACTCTGGGTGCAGGGCTGGGCAGTTTGCCAGCATGAACTGAGTGCTCTTCTAGTTTTCTCTTTTACGGCTCGGCTTGGCTTTCTGTTGCATCCAGYTTGGAAAGGGGATTCCTTCTTCTGTTTTATTCTCAGAATAGTCCCARTGAATGTTTTCAGCTCCTCTTTTCCCAAGCTACATAACTGTAGACTCTTACTTTAGTTAATTCTTTGCAGGTAACTTACTTGAACTGAGCATTTTAGTCTCCTTAATCTTAGTAACTATCACTAGGAGGAAGCCTGTCAGGTTGGGGTAGAAGGTTGTCCTAAGTTCAGTAAAACCATGGTATTTGTTCACTTTCAGCATGACCACTGAGAAAAATATCCATGACTTAAACCAAATTTGTGCAGAAACTCCTTGTAGTGAGTTAGCTGACTGTATCACCACTGTACAAAGATTTAAGAGTTCTTTATTACTGATTCTGGATATTTTTGCTTTTAGACTAAGTAGGTTTGTGAATTGACTAGTGTTCTTGCCAATAGGTTTTCTCAGTTGAAGAGTCTGAACTTGTCTCATAATAGACTGGGAGAGTTTCCTGTATCACTGTGTGAGATCTCTACTCTGACAGAACTTAATATTTCCTGTAATGGACTTCGTTACTTACCAAGTCAGATTGGCAAACTGTTGAAGTGAGTATGTTCTTTTCATCTGTGATCATAAACATCCTTGATGTCTCAGCTGAGCACTGCTGATGTGCAGTTTCTGAAAGTGAGAGTTCTAGGGCAGCCTGTATTGTCCATGAAGGCTGAATGATTAATTTGACTCCAGAAGGTCAAGAACTGAGATGTGCAATCTCTTAATCACTGCTATTAAAATGTTACAGCTACTGGTGTAGAAAAGATGAGGAGACTTCATGCAGGTGAAGCACTGAAGGCAGCTGTGTTGTTTCTCACATAAGACTGTGTGCATTTTTCTGTGGCTGCAGAGTTACATGACTTTCTAGTTTATTATTTGTATTTAATATTTTCAGTACTGATGCAATTTGTGTTGAAATTTTAATTTATTACAGAAAACTTTTCTGTATTAACAATACAGAATATGGTAATATTACAGAAAACTTTTCTGTGGTAACTTCTCACAGGGGTCTAGTGATTTTAGTCAGCACTGGTATGTTTGATAGTGTTCTATAGAATTGGCTGCTTTTTGTGTTAGAGGATTTTAACATAAAAATACTTGGGCAATCCCCACTGAAAATTTTGTCTTAAAGGGTTTGCTGGAATAAAAGCATTGTGCATTTTCCCCAGTAACTGCCCCATATGCATAAGAGCTTAAGCTTAGGTAAATTTAACTGCAAGTCTATTACTACATTTGTGCAGATAAATACCTATATTGAACTGTTGGTTTATTGCGGCCTGCTTTTCCTCCAGCTTGTGTCTTTAAAAAAGGAATGTCTGCAGCCACACTGGAATGTGAGCAAGTAATTTCCAGAGTGATCTTTTGGCCGTGTAAGCTGTATGTAGGCTTACACTTTCTAGAGGTTTACAGCTTAATTATAGGTCCCAATATCTTGATGACTCCTTGAGCCCTTATTTATAACTTCTCGTGGCCTCCGATTTTATTTCTTCTACSACTAAACACAGAGAGGTCTCTGTTGGAACATAATCATATCAAGGGAATTATGTATTTGGAATCTGAGTCTCAAAAGTCATRCAACCTTTGAAACAATGCATCTTAAAACAGAAAGCGACCTTATTCTTTTCTGAGGGCTGGAATGGACAGCTAGAGCGTCAAAATCTTCTACCAGTGCATTAGAGTGGTAGGAGGTGTGATTAATTTGTAGAAAACTAAGTAATTAAGTAAATACCTTTCATCAACATAAGTACTGGCTTGTGTTTTGCTTGTGTTAGCTCACAGTGTTTGGCACAACTGGAAGTTTAACTCCAGAATAAGTTAAAAACTATCTGCTATTGCATATATGCAGTTCCAAGCCTATTACATGCATGATAAAAGTCTTCAATAACTTTATGCATATAAGAATAAAATCAGCTGTTTATGTACCTTTAAAAATAACCACATTGAGACCAGCTACCTATACGAGAAAATTCACTGAAAATACTAAATGTGATGTTCACTACTCTTTGCAGAATTATTTTCTTTCTCTTTTTCATTGTTGCAGTCTCCAGACCTTCTGGCTTGATGGCAATTTCCTCACATCCTTGCCAGAAGAGATGGGAAACCTGCAGCAGCTCAGCTGTCTTGGGCTTTCTTTTAATAACTTCTGTGAACTGCCAGCAATTTGTGAGAAACTTGTCACCTTAGACAAACTAGCCCTGGCAGGGAATTTGCTAGAGACCCTGGACCTGACAGTGCTGAACCGTATGAGTCACATCAAAAGTGTGGACCTGAGGTAAGGGGTGAAACTTGCAGTTGTCTGTAAAACAGATTGCTACTTTCCATTTACAGCAGAGGAGCTGCAGAACTTCTAGTATGTTTTGCAATAACCGAGGTTCATTTTTTTCACTTAATGATTCTTTTATGGAGTTCTGTTTCAGAGGGTGTGCAGAATCCACTTGGAAAAGTGAGGTTAACGGAGCAGTCAGTGCCTGATGCTGAATGTGACACAGCCCTCTAGTTTCCTCTTGTGATATGCTGTTACCTTGAGCTTTGGTAGCTCTTTCATCTCTCCTTCCCTTTTTTGCCTCCCTGTCCTAGAGATGTGATCATAATTGTCCAGGCTGTCAACTGCAGATCTCTCCAAAAGAGACAAAGAGCTTTTTGTGTGTGGCAAGGCAGTCTAGTGTCAGTTCTCTGCATTAGCTTCCTGTGTCTGTGCAGAGTAGCTGCCCCTTGACCTGGCTTCTGTTTTCTAGACTGGATCTTTTTTCAGAATCTCTTAAGAATGTGGGAATCATTAAAATGGTTACATATAGCAGTGTAGAGAAAGGAAATGTTTTTTGTTTATATTCACTGCCTGAAATTCACCATTGTTCATTACACATTTCATCCACTGTGCTCACCTTTGGCGTTAGTCTTCACCAAAATTCTTCCTTTCCTCTTCTTTTTTCTCTATTCTTACTGATGTCCAGTGTTCAGTGTTTTGTTTTCTGACTTTTTAACTCATTTCTGAGTGTTTAGGCTGAACAACCTGAAGAGAGCAGCAGCTGACGCTGTGCAGGGGAACAAATCTGTGGCTTTCATGGATTTACGAGACAATCAGATGACAGATCTGGATCTGAGCTCCTTGGTCAGCCTGGAGCAGCTGCACTGTGAGCGGAATAAACTGAGAGAGCTGACACTGAGTGGCTTCTCCCTTCGGGCCCTGTATGCCAACAGCAACTGTATGTCTGTCTTCTTCACCTGCCTTTTTCTTTTAAGCCCTGGGAGTAAAGGAAAACAGCTTTTTGCTTTCTCTCATGCATTTATAAGATAATTATGCTGATGTTATTGTGGTGAAATGATATATGATGGGTCCTGCGAGGTTAGCTCCTAGAGTTTTCATATGCGTTTGTGTACACAGGCTGTGTAATGGGGGAGGTTGTGGTTATGTCCAAAGAATTCATCTTCCAGTGAGATCTGTTTGGGAGCCCACAAAGAAAAGTACGGTTCTCCCTTGTTCTGGTGCTCCACGAGACAGATGGAGAAATGGGATCGTGAGACACTGTAGTGCCCTATGGCAGATGCATGAAGTGGGAACTGTGTGGTGGGAAGGATCAGTAGGGACCTTGAGTATCATAAAGAAAGATTGTGAGTCTCATTTGATAGCTAAGCTGCTTCTCTGTGCTATTTTCTCTCTGAAGCTCTGCAATCATACTTACTTGCTTTACTTCGTCAGGTCTGACAGCTGTCAATATTTATCCGGTTCCTGGTCTACTGACATGTCTGGAACTCTCTCAGTAAGTGATCATGTACAACAGAATCTAAAGCAAGTATCTGGACACCTTTTYTGTTTTCTGCAGAATTTTCTAGAGGTTTTAGGGTTTTAAAACAGTTGAGAGCGATGAAACACAACAGAACTTCAAAGCCCAGCACTAAACAATGATAAGAAGTGTCCCAGACCAGAAGCCCTTCTGAACCTGTATGACTTCTTCAGGTGACTTCACTGTCCTTCATCCGCAGGCTGTGATCAAAAAAAAAAAAGCCAAGCAGGGACCACTGAACTTGTGGCAGCTTACTGAACCGAATGGAGAGGGATCTGTGGAGCAAACATTTAGAGTAGATGCCAGTGATCTCTGCTATTGGTTTCATTGCCTTTGGAGCAGCCCTTACAGTAAGACCTGTAAGACAGGATGCCCTCCCAAGTCATGGACCAGCTCGGTTTGCATTACACAGCTAGCTGTGAGATAAATTCTATATGACTAACTCGGGTGCAGTTCATTTTTTGCCTGTTGTTTTTGGTTTGGCTGTCACTAACATCATGCAGTGTTCAAAGAGGGTCTGTTCCCTATGGAGTGCTGGTGTCTAGCTTCTCCCTCTTGCTTTTCTCAGCAATCAACTACAGTGCGTCCCAGACTGGGCCTGTGAAGCAAAAAAACTGGAAGTTTTGGATGTGAGCTACAACCTCCTTTTGGAGCTTCCGTCAAGGTCAGCAAAGCTTTGTAAACAGAGGTGGGCTTTCATCTGCAATGGGCTGGGAACAGGGAAGCGATTCCAGTTGCTTTACTCCTTGTTGTGCAGAGATATAATCCACTGTTTTCTCGATGCAGCACCAAAAATGCTGTGTATTCAGATGYTGGAAAGACCAATTTCTAGGTCAGCCTTTTGAACGTTAGGGGCTGCGTAATTCCCTCCTGTGCTTTTGGCTGCTACTGCACCTGTTTGCACCTGACACAGAACATACTTCTATGATTTATATGTGTTACAATTCTTTCTGTGAACACAGGTCATAGGTGAGACACTAATACATTTTGCATTGTCCCACAGAAATTTCATTTGTTGCCTTTGATAAAGAATTATCACAAAAGGACTATACAGCTGATCCCAAATATAGCTTTCACAGTACACCATCAGACAGCTCCTCCCCATTTCCCTTTCAGTTTCTACAGAAAAGCAGTAAATGAGAGCCAAGAACTAATACAATTTTGTAGTTATTTCTAATGACTTCTTGAAGGTACCAGGAACATCCTGGGAAGAAGCAAAACACAAATATTCTCAGCCTATCAAGGGTTTTTGGTGGAGGTGTGAKCGTGATGAATGACACGCTGTCTAGGGTGAGCTGTGTTAAAATAGAATGGGGAAGTGATTGACAGGGAAGAAATGCAGAATACAGGTTGGAGAAGTTGAAGCAAGAGGCATAGGAAATGATCAGCAGTGACACTCTAGTCATTGTCACATAAAAACAATATACATCAAAAGCAAGAAAAGGATATAACAAGGATGAGGTAATGAGAACTTAGAATTTTAGCAATGCCAATGGATTAAAGGGACCAAATTTTAACTATATTGTGCAAAGAATAATTTACTGCTTCAGAAATAATACAGGAGTGCTAAGCAGCTAGTTAAAGCTCTGAATTTAGATTGGCACTTCTTTCTACCCGCAAATGACAGCAGGCATTTAAGGCCCTCCTTTGTGACTTCTTTCTCTGGCTGCCTTGGAGAATGCTGGGCACATGCACACCGACAGACCCAYGATACCAATCAGCAGCAGAGTAGAGGGAAATGTAGATACGCTTCCAAGCGTTCAGAGAGACCGAGTCGTCTTACCCTGTGTGTTGTTCTGCCTTGTCATTCTTTATGTTTYCTGGATCAGTGTATTTTAATATTTCCCTGCTGTACAGTCAGATTTAGTGGATTAAATACTACCTTTCTCACTCCGTGGATTTCAAGAGGAGCAAAACAAGTCAAAATAGAAAACCCTGTGTCTTTCTAGGATCCTCAGAAGCTTGAGTCTTCGGAAGTTGATGGTGGGACACAATCACCTGGAGAGCCTTCCACCTCTTCTAGAACACATTCCACTGGAGGTGCTGGACCTTCAACACAATCTGTTGACYAAACTCCCAGAGATGCTCTTTGTCAAAGCTCTCAAGTGAGTGTCAGTAGCAAACATCTTTTGTCTTCATTGTCCTTTGGAATCGTAAGAGCCGAAAGTAGCACCAGTGTGACTGGGCTTGCAAGGTGCCGTTTACATAAGAGGTAACAAGGTGTGCACTTCATGAGGAGGTAKTAATTCATGTGCCATAAGGGAAGCYATCAAGCTGTTTTGAAAGAATAGTCAATGTTACTATGTAATTACAGGARAACAGGCTGCCTGAAGGGCYTTGTCTTTAAAAATAGTMATAAATTCAGGTGGAAAAGAAAGAAGCCAGAAGGATATTCAGGTCATTGGAGAACAACAAGAGAGAACAATCCTTTATAACTCTCTATTCAGGCAGGAGTCAGCCCTTCTTTTGAGGAGTCTAAGTAAAGTTTTGTGTTTTCTGCCTCTGCCAGTTAACCACAGGCTTTTCAGTACTCACTGTTTACTGGAAAATGCTGTGTGCTTCCACAGTACATATAGCTAATAAGTCATTAGCAGACTTATAAATCTTAATGTGAGTAGGTATGTTACAGTATTGTTTAGCCTTCTGTCTAATGCTGCTGTCCACACTGGCATTTGTGTAGCTCCTTTTCCTGCTGTTAATGGAGTGSTTTGGATGATGTGAAGTCTGATTTTTGCACTTGCTGTGGTTAGCCTCAGGTACCTGAATGCATCTGCAAACAGCCTGGAGTCCTTGCCCTCCGCATGTACTGGGGAGGAGAGTCTGAGCATGCTGCAGCTGCTATACTTGACCAGTAACAACCTCACAGATCAATGCATCCCTGTCTTGGTGGGACACCCAAACCTACGAATCCTGCATCTGGCAAACAACAATCTGCAGACTTTCCCTGCGAGGTAAATCAGTAAGGCTTCTGGGCAGGACAGTTCTCCCCAGGAGGAAGCTGCCACCTCCCCATGATTGTATGTGAATCAAAGTTAGAGCGAGATGCATTCCATGTAGCTTGATAACAAAAACCTGGCATTTGTACACACAAAGTGAGGAGAAGCCTTTTAAGGGGGATTGGCACAGGGTACTGTTAGCTGGTATACTGGTTGGCATAGGGATTCCTATGCTCCTAGTTGTGGTGCCATCCAGAAGGACCAAAGGATGTAACTAGTTGTGTTGGTTGTGTGTGGGGATGGGGTGATATTTCTTTGCAACCTCAACACTAGTGGGGAAGGGTCTGTCGGCTGTACAAATCCAAGCCAGGCTTGGGGACCCTGCACTCCTACTAGAGCATCTCTTAGAACTTTTGGTCTCCTATCTAAATCAGAAAAGTAGCTCATAAAGCACAGTATCTATGGATACCTCATCTGCAGCTTTAGGAAGTGACAAGTTCATGTCTGTAAGACACCGTATTTTTTTGTTTTCCTTTCAGCAAACTTAGTAAACTGGAGCACTTGGAGGAACTGAATCTGAGTGGCAACAAACTGAAAACAATTCCTACAACGRTTACAAACTGCAAGCTACTTCATACACTTATTGCACACTCTAATGAAATCAGCATTTTTCCAGAGATCCTGCATTTGCCCCGTATTCAGGTATTTGCATGGAGAAGGTAAAGACATATCTGGGGAAACTTKGGGTTATAGAATGAGGGGTAACTGCTAGGAGAGAACTGGAGGTCCCAGCAAGGCCAAGTGCAAGGGTCAGAGCTGCCATTGGTATCAATCCAGGCTGGGGTTGAATGGTAAAGAGCAGCCCTGCTGAGCAGGACTCGGGGCGTGCTGCTGGATGAGAGGCTGAACACGGCCCAGCCACGTGCGCTGGCAGCCAGAAACCTCCGTGTGCTGGGCTCGCTGCAGCGGCGTGGACAGCAGCCCAAAGTGCCCTGCTCAGGTGAGACTCCACCTGCAGGGCTGTATCCAGCCTTTGGGCCCTCAGCACAAGGACTTAGACCTGTTGAGAGTAGGTCCAGAGGAGATGATCAGAGGGTTGGAGCACCTCTGCTGTGGAGATGGGCTGAGTGACTTGGGGTTGTTCAGCTTGGGGAAGAAAAGGGTCTGGAGTGACCTTATTGCAGCCTTCCAKTAACTGAAGTGGCTAAAAGAGAGCTTGAGAAGGACTTTGGACAAAGGCATTGAGTGACAGGGCAAAGAAGAATGGCTTTAAAGTGGAGGAGAGTAGGTCTAGGTTGGATATTAGGAGGAAACTTTTCCCTGTGAGTATGGTGAGGCGCTGGCACCGGTTACCCAGAGAAGCTGTGGCTGCCCCATCCCTGTAAATTTCAAGACCAGGTTAGACAGATCTTGGAGCAACCTTGTGTAGTGGAAGGTGTCCCTGCCCACGGCAGAGATACTGAACAAAATGGGCTCTAAGGTCCCTTCCAAAACAAACCATCCTGTGATTCTATGACTTTGCTTGATGAGCCCAAGAAGAGGCCACAGATTATGCATTCTGTATCTCTCACCTTTGTGAATTGATTGAAGATGGTCTCTCATTCACATCTACCCCTTATCTCTGACATTTCTGGTTTCTTGCATTTGAGACACTGGGGGTAGTGTTACATAGCTAGGCCGGTTTGAATATAGAGGCCTTTTTTTTTGTCTTTGGTGTGACCTAATCTTTTAGTATTGGAGTCCTGGCTATTGCAGGTTGCTTCTAAATCATTCTTCTGACAAATCAGATCCATTTTCATGACCTGTGTGTGGGATACAGTCAGTAGTGGAGTTGTATGATGTTTGTAAGGAGCACTGGAGTAACTGATGACATGACACAACAAAAGAGTATTTTCTTTGTCATGTTGTTTGTTGCTACTGCAGTTTGTGGATTTGAGCTGCAATGAGTTAACTGAAATCCTAATCCCTGAGGCACTGCCCAGTGCCTTGCAAGAGCTGGATCTGAGTGGAAACACAAACCTGGTGCTAGAACACAAGACACTGGATATCTTCAGGTGAGCCACTGACACATCAACCCAGTAGTGACCTACCTGCACAGGGAAGGGTAACTCTTGCTAGGAGAGGAAATGGGATAGTGAAGTATGTATCACAGCACTGCATAGTGCTGTAATGTTCCCTGCCTGAGGCAGCTGAGACTTCCTGTCTTTAGGAAGGGAAAAGTCTGGATCCAAAACACCAGAGCAAGCAACTTTTCAGGTGGTATGAAGGTTTTCACAGGTGTCTCYGGCATAAGCAGCCAGACATCTTCAGAAGAGCTGGACCTTAAACTCCTCTCTTTGATGCAGTTCTTTCCACAGACTGCTGTCTAAAACTCTAGACTGCACAAGGTCCTATGTCCTGTTCAGAGCAGGTTCTAGAAGAGCATGACTTCTGTTCTCTCTGTAGTCACATTACCACACTGAAGATTGATGCTAAGCCCTCCCTCACGGCAGACTCGGCACTCACTTCTACCTTCTGGAGTCACGGAGTAGCTGAGATGGCAGGCCAAAGAAATAAGTGAGTACTGTTCTCTGCTGAACACTGACACTTGTCTTAGGTTTCTGGGCAGAGTGTACTGCTGAGTGCCCAAGAGCTCATCCATCCCTTTGTCTCTCTGGATCTCTTACTAAGTCTTTGTAACTGAAATCTCCACATTATCTTTTCCTGCAATTTTCACACTTATCCTGGGACACTTGAACTGTTTCCCCATCCTGCAAAGATGCTTTTTCTCTTGCTAGCTGTTGCCCTCTCCTGCATGTGGTCATGGAGGGTTTGGGAGTTCCAAAAATAAAATGCAGCTGTACATCTCCCAGGCTAGTGAATGTAGGCACAGTAGCTTTTCTGCCTTGTGAGAATGACACTCACAGCAAGGTGCCTGATGGCTGTGGGTTTGGAGACAAGATAATATTTTGAGACATAATAACTTCACTTGTATGCTTTTCTAACAGGCTGTGTTTGTCATCCCTCGCACTGGGGAGCTTTGCRGAGGGGCTGGATGCCGTCTATGGCATGTTTGATGGTGACAAGAATGAAGAACTGCCACGTTTGCTGCAGTGCACCATGGCCGATGTGCTCCTGGAGGAGGTACAGCAGTCAGACACCATGTTCATGTCCAACACCTTCTTGGTCTCCCACAGGTAGGAGAGTGAGCACGCTGGTCCTGGTGGGACCTGCATAGGTGTATCAATGTGTTRGGCGGGGTGAGGCAGCCCTCCAGAATGCCTGTCAGTAGAGTCTGGAGCCTCCTGCACCTTTTCCTCCAACAGGAAGCTGGGCATGGTTGGGCAGAAGCTGGGTTCCTCTGCTGTCCTTTGCTATATTCATACTGAGGTGGCTGATCCAGGCAGCAACTTTTCTCTGACGGTGGCCAATGTGGGGACGTGCCAAGCCGTTCTGTGCCGAAGTGGAAAAGCACTGCCTCTATCCAAAGTCTTCAGCCTTGAACAATGTTCAGAAGAAGCCAGGAGAGTCAAGGAGCAAAAAGCCATTATAACAGAGGTTGGTTTGGACCCTTCMCTCTTCAGTTTCCACCCTCATGTAAAAGCTTAGTACAAATACATGAGCTCTGTGGTCTGCACGACGTTACAGGGGAGAGGGTGACATGAAAGTTCTGAATGACTTGTCTAGTGCTACCTGCTCTGCTTCTTTTGCTGAATTAGGTGTTCAAAATTGCATGTTCCTAAAACACTTACTGTGGCCTAAGAACTATGGGTACAGGATGACATGTTGTATGCAAAAGTATTAAAATTATTTCTAGAGAACTCTGTGAAGGTTAACTTTCTAAACACTTGGAAATAATAGGGAAGTTCCAAAGAATGGGAAAAATACATCTGTAAAGATGTTGGGAAATCGGTGCCAGTAACTTTAGTTTTATGCTCAGTGGGTGTTTTTAAAAAGTGTCAAATTGCTAGATAAAATTCTTTCTCATAGGCCTAATCTTGTCACTGTGTTGTAGCTCCTCAAGGTGCTGTAACACTGTGCCATAGCACTCTGACTGAAAATAAATGGGATTAATGTAGCACATTGAATAGTTTTAAGAATTGTCTCAATGGATTCTGAAAAAGAAAAGTGAAATTACTGTGTAAGGAGACTTCCCCGTGTGTCTCATCTGCTGGTTTTAATACCTGAAGGCAGCAGCAGCAGCAGTGTTAACAGCCAGAGGATAGAGAAGTTAAGAACTTAACATGAAGAAATTAAATTCAAAACACTGACTTGGATAAAGGATTGAGGATCGTGGGTACTTCCCTATATGGGAGACCACTGTCAGATAGGCCAGGCGACCATGTGGCAGAAAGGGGTTAATACATCCAAGTTACAGAAACAGTTTGAGATACCTACTTGTTCTTTTCTTCTTCAAGATGTAGCGTTCACACTTCAGAATGCAGTTATATGTTAATAAGGAGGGAAATAGTTCAGATAATACACCTAAATAGTTTAATGTCTGGGTAATCTGTCTTGCACTGAGAAAGTCAAAAGTCACTATCTCACTTGTTCTGAAAAAATACGTTTCACATAAGACTCATCAGTGAGACAGTGAGACTCTCGGATCAGTATACTGCACATTCCAGAATAGTCTGCTACTGTTCTTCAGAGTGCATCAGATAGCAAGTGTGCTATCACCAGCACGAGTGATGGTGGTTATTGCATGTGGTGATCAGGTATAGTGAATGTCTGTGCTGTAGTACATGCACCTGGATCCCTTTCTCCAACACTGCAGTGCATAACTGGCATTCCTTAAGGCTCCAAACCAGCATRTGAGAAGGGGAAAGGTTGCTTTCTAAATGATCTAATAGCGCATCCAGTGCTACTGCCTTGTTTCTCTTGTCTGCAGGACAATAAAGTCAATGGAGTGACTTGCTGTACTCGGATGCTGGGCTGCACATACCTGCATCCTTGGATCCTGCCCAAACCACATGTCAGCTCCATTCCACTGACTGTACAAGATGAGCTGCTGCTTCTGGGGAACAAAGCTCTCTGGGAGCACCTTTCTCACGCAGAGGCTGTCTCAGCTGTGCGGCACCTACACGACCCTCTAGCTGCTGCAAAGAAACTCTGCACTTTAGCCCAAAGCTATGGTTGCCAAGACAATGTTGGTGCAATAGTGGTATGTCTGAACATCGGTGAGGACAACTGCACTTGTGAGATGCACGGCCTCACTCTGCCAGGCCCTGGGGGATTTAGTTCTACTACCACCAAGCCAGCAACACCTTCATGTAGCAGTGGAATTGCTTCAGAGTTCAGCAGTGAACTGTCTGCTTCTGAGGTTAGCAGTGAGGTRGGCTCCACTGCCTCAGATGAACATAGTGCTGCTGGTCTTGATGGCACTTTGCTCTCACGACAAGAACGACGTTGCAGCCTGCATCCTGTGCTACCCTCAAACATCTTTCAGCGCCAACCTTCCAGTGCCACCTTCTCTAGCAACCAGTCTGACAATGGTCTAGATAGTGATGATGAGCAGCCTGTGGAAGGTGTGATGACAAATGGCAGTAAAGTGGAGGTAGAGGTGGATATCCACTGCTGTAAAGTAAAGGGCCTGGAGTTAGAACATCTTGCTGCAGAGTGCAGCTCTTCTGCTCCAGGGCCTGAGGATGACTCTGGGCTTGTACTTATCATTAGGAGACAGAACAGTGTAAACAGCAACACTGTGCAGAGAGGGGTGAAGGAAAAGTGTGAACTGCAAAAATCTCTTTCTACATGTTGTCTTTATGGAAAGAAGCTTTCCAATGGCTCCATAGTGCCCTTGGAGGAGAGTCTCAACCTCATCGAAGTAGCAACTGAGGCACCCAAGAAGAAGACAGGCTATTTTGCTGCTCCATCCCAAATGGAGCCAGAAGATCAATTTGTGGTGCCACCTGATCTGGAAGAGGAAGTGAAGGAACAAATGAAGCAGCACCAGGAGGATGGAGCAGATCAGGAGCTAAAAGAGGAACATGCAGCACCCCTGCCAGAGGAGTTTGACACAGCTTTGTAACCCTATGAGTATCACTCCCACATTGTCTGTCCCARGAAGCTCTGTTTCATAAGGGCTGTCGTGCCCTCCAAGGGAGCTGAGATCTGCAAGGAGTACAGGCACCTGCTGCCTTTTTAAAGGAGTCAAGGAAGAATCAGGAAGGCTGAGGTCTGGGCTCTCCACTTACCACTGTAGAGTCTGAGTTGTTCTCAGAGCACTCAGATCAGCAGCTGGGCTCTGTGTTAGGGACTGCCTGTAACTCCTTGAACCCTGAGGTTCTGCCAGCTCTGCAGGAAAGGGGCTGGTATGTGTATGTGTGGGGCKAAGAGGCTGCTGAGGGAGAAATGCTCAGTGCTTAGAGTCTTGTGAATATTCCTGATGCAGTGTTCTGTCCTCGCCCCCAGCACCTGAYTTTGTTATTCCTTGAAAGAATATAGCCAGTTGCAATAACGCTGACCTAAGAATGGTTTCCTACATTAATTGCAAGCACTTTTATTGATTGCACTTAAGCTGGTCTTTTCCCTTTCAGCCCCGCACTTTATTTTTTAGGGTTAGGGTGGAAAGCAGGTATGCAGTGGACTTCTCCCAGTGAATGTTTTTAGGGCAGTGGAGGACTCAAGGTACCAGTGTTCTGATGAGCACTGGTGCAGGGGAAGAGCGAGGGTTATGGTGGGATCATTCTGTGTAGGATGAGAAGATACATAGCTGAGTGATAAGCAGGTGCCAACCAATGCATTTTGTATAGAACATAGGAAAGGTCAGCTCAGGACTGGTTAAGATAATGTGTAGAGCTAGTGCTTCTAGCTGCAGAGCAGACCCAGCTGAGTAGCAATTCAGCCACCTCCTTCAGAGGAACCAAGCTGTGAACAGCGGTGTGCTGTGCTAAGGCTGGCAGAAGCATCCAGTGCTGTGTTCCATCAATCTAAACCTCTGCATTGTCAGCTACAGCGTCTTTGCTTGCCTCTGAAAACAGAAATCATATCCCAAATCCACAGCAACCAGCATTTCATGGTATGTGTCCAATTTGGCCACAAACAAGGTGAAAGTGTACTTGTTCCTGCCTAGCTTTCATCACAAAAGCAAAAATGGAACTTTTCATCTTATTAACATCTTTATCAGCACTGAAAAATATGTTTAAAACAGTCCCAATAATGATTAACTGGCCAGTCTGCACTCAAGATGCCTTGTGTTTCCATTAGGATTTTTGATGCAGGGTGTAAGTTGGCTGCCTGTGTCATCTTGTGTAAKGGCTGTGGAGACCACTGCCTCTGCAGCATGCAGATTTGTCTTCCTTTTGGACAGAGCTAGAGAGCAGCTGGCCCCATCATATCAGTCATTGCAGCAGTCCTGACTGTAATGTGGGCTTGTGCCTTTTTTTCTTCACTAATTGTATTTATGGAGAAAACTTAAAAATTTCTTCTGAGAGATCTGAGGGACTTGAGCTGTCTATTTTTGGATTAAATAYGGGCTTTGCTCAGAAGGAAATAGCGTGCAGACCACTTGTGAGATTCTGTCAATATAGATCTTTTGACAAAATCTAATGGAGTTTTACTGAGATTTCAGAGCACCTTGAATTTCTTCTCACTAGGAAAAAAATGTCTTTATCATGCATGAGGAGCAATGTTTTAGCATATACTTTGTGCTAGTTGCAGTGTAATCATGAAACAAGCCAACTTTTTCCAAAGTTTAAATTCTCACAGTTTTTGGTTGTTTAAACATCTGTTTCATTTGGAACTGGAAGATTGAAGCTAATTCTTACAATCACAGGAGCACCACCATTTGAATCCTTTAGGCAGAGAAACAACAGCAGAAAAGATTCAAATGCTAAATCCCAAAATTCTTTCATATTATCATCATCATGCAGGAAAGTTCATCCCAATGTATTTGACTGCAACTTTTGATTCTGTCACTGGTGATAATTTTACCAAATATCTGTGCCTAGTTCAGTTTCTGATATTTGAAAGGGCTGCAGAACAGCCTCAGTTCAGTATGGGACTGATGGCAGAAACCCTTCTTTCTGAGTATGACTCTGAGAAACCTTGCACTCCAGGTGGCACATATGAAGGCAAATCAGGTCTCTRTTTCTTGCACTGATATGGAAAGTCCAGTGTGTCCTTGCCAGTCTTGTGTCTTTGCCCGTCTGAACCAGCAGCATTGCGTGGAGAGTTGCCAYGAGGAGTTAGCAATGAATGGCTCTAGCGAGCTCCGTGTTGATGGACTGAGGGAAACACAGCTCGGCAATGGAGCATGCACATTTCTTCACTTCTCCTCTTAAAGATAGTGGCAGAATGGAACAGAGACTTTTTCTCCAGTGCTTTTTCTGGTTTTGAAGCAGAAAGGGAGTTTAAATACAGCCAGCTCTTATTTTCTGTAGGTATGAACTGTCATGGAAGGCATGGCTTGTTATTTTTCTTACACTCGAGGTAGAGCTCAGATCTCTCTGAAGCTGGTGTAACAAACTCCGGGCAGCACAAGCTGAATTGACTTTACCTGTTCCAAATAATCTTCCTCTATTTGACTAAGATAAGCATTGGTGTCCCCAGCAGCTTTGCATATCTTCCATGTGCTGCTTCTGAGGATTAAGCCTTTCCTTTTCCCTTTCAGCCACACATTACGATGCTTTTTCTCCAGTCATCCAAAATCTTTTTCATGCATTAAAAAAATGTGCCTGGGTATCACAAAAAGTGATACTTTTTTCTAGGGCAGTGTTGGATGGCAACAAAGACACTGGCATAGTATTTCATACAAATGTCTTGGATTTTCTAACTCAAGATTCCAACTGTTGAGACATGTTTCGAAGTCACTGTCATCCAAATAAATGGGGTTTTTTTCTGACTTTGGTCAGGCAGTGGTGTGGCTGGGTTATCTTCCTCTGTCTGGTGAGGACAGCTCATAGAATAGAATACTTCCCTCCACGACCTTTTGTTTTCCTGCCTCCCTCTGTGTCTTCCCTACCTTTCTTATTAAACCACCTTAGATTTCAAGCTCCCAAGGGGCACTGCTGTAGGTAGAACAGGTATGAAAGGGTGAATCTACTGGAGCACTCATAGCAAGGTATAGAAAGTGTCTTCCCAGTTCTCTTCCTGTTCTCAAGCCCCTTCCCTGATTTTTGTATGTGGAGTTTGCAGTGATACTGTGTGATCTTCACATAACTACATCAGTGAGAACTCATTCGAAGACTTGTTGTTAGAGAGGTTCTCAGTTTGAGGTCATTAGGCTGCCCATGCCTTCCATGCAGCCAYAGCCAATGAGGCTGAGAAGTTGGTTGGTCCATCTCTCCAGTAATACTGGCTCTGCTGATGAGCATGCTTGCTGAGAAGGGTACTCTGAAGGCACTACTCTGTCCTATCCTGTCCAGAAAGGCTTCTGCAAAAGGAAYCCAAAAAGGTTATGTTCAGTGATGGGTATTTGGGCCCAGGTGTTAAAGGTAAGAGATAGCCTCCAAATTGCCCTCAGAACAAGGAACAGGGCCCAATAGAGGCAGCATCACAGACCGTTCATACCAGACCAGAATTTTCAGTTAGATGGGATGTTAACATTCTCTTCCAAGAAGGAGCAGTATTTCCCTCTCTTGGCTGCTGTGAAGTCTGAAATCTTTCCYCTAGTACACAGGACCTTCAGCCACCTAAGGCTTTTGACCTGTGGGGTTTCTGCACTCCTTCCAGATGCTGATGGCTTTTGTGTCACTTGCCAAAGCCCTTCYTCAGGCAGCAGGATCACCTCTTTGGTCTTGTGCAATCGTTGTCTGCTGTTCTGTTGCTTTTTGAAGACTCAACTGTATTTTTCCTGTTTTCACATTTTAAAATGTTACRTTTTTTTAAACTTTACTCACATGACCTGGCGCATGTTAAATATTGCAGTGTATCTACTATTTAATAAATAATCTTTTTTCATGCTTTTTTTTTTTGRTTTTTAACAAGGATATTTTCTGTATCCCACTCTAGCATGCACCTCTTAATAATCCCTGATTTTGTTGTCTATGGGAGTAGATTGTCCAATGAATGCATCCTCAGCACTGTCGCTATGTTTGTAYTGCTTTGGAAAGGTAAATAAGGTAAGATTGTTGGAAAACCTTAGTCCATTCTTTATTCGGGTGTATAGAGCAGTTCAGGAAGGAAGAATATTTTTGCATAGGATTTTTCAGCTGACTTAGCAATAAAGATTTTTACTTTCATCTAACAGCTTATTCTGATTCTGTTACTGTGCTGTAAGAAATGTGTRCAATATCCCAATCAAAGGTAGCTGTGTCTAGCAGCAGCTATGAAGTGGCATTTCATTTTGAGGCATGAGTTGGTGATTCTAGTGCTGCTTTTCCCAGTTAGATTTCCTATACAAGTTTTTCTAAAAAAAAMCCCAAAAAATCAAGAGCAGCATCTCATTTCTCCAACTTGTATATTTAAAATGGATTTTGAAAACAATATACTTCTATAGTCAACCACCCCTTGATCTCATAAAGCTTTTGTCTGATCAGCCCAATTCAGGGCATTTTTTTAAGTGAAACTATTGTATACAAGTTATATAAAAGACCATTCCACACAAAAATGGGCTCTGTCCCGGAGTTTAAAAGGCATTGTGTCACAAGTTAGACTGAGTTTGTGAGCTTTTTTCAGAATATTTTCATGGCCTTACAAATGTCACATTCACACTAGTCTCTTAATTCCAAGAGAACTACAAGGAAGCAATATTTAGTTGCTACAACCATGGGCCTTGACCAGTTGTTTTTAAGAGATCTGTTCTYGGCGAAATCACATGCCTTTTGTATAGACAGTTTCTGCTACAGAGCTGTTCACTGACAGAAGCAGTAGTGGCAGTACTTGTAGCAAGACCTCACTGGAGAATGGGACACATGATAGCAGGATGGAAGGGCTGCCTGTGAAGCAGGAGACAAAACCCCTTGGATCAGCTTTGAGACACTATTTAATAATGCAAAATCAAGTTGTGAATGGCCTGATTCTACCATATTTACAGCTATGCTAGCTCTGCAGCATTAAGGCTGCACTGTCCAGAAGCAAGGAAAGCACACTGCTTCATCTCAGTAAGGGGACCGGCAAAAATCAAGACCACTACTGGAGTGGAGGAATCATCTCTAAGTTCTTATTGGTTTCTGTTTCTGTTCATGAGCTGTCCTGTACTCTCTGACAGCTAGGCCTGCACTGAGCAGGTACGCCATGGCAGCCCAAGGGGCCAACAGCAATCTCTGCCCCGTGCAGGCTGCACCAGAAGCCCTGATAGCCTTTGTTGTGATAGAGCTGCTCTCTTTCTTTGCACACTGATGAATTATAAACCCTCAGCAGAGAATGGAAGAAATAGTACAGAGCGGGTACTGTGCCAACTACAATTACTGTGTCCAGGGTGCATTCAATTAGCAGCCATGCTGGGAAATGCCATGGTACCCGTAGAACACCAACCAAAATGAGAACACAAGGGATGACCAGGAGACAGCCTCCCATGGCCGTCGCTGGTCTTGCAATGGGCAGCTTCAATAGGTAAAAACGCTGCTCAAGCTGCTGGGCTCGTTCCCCGTCCGCTCGGCTGAAGCCGCTGGAGGCCCCGCCGTAGTGGTGGCAGTAGATGCCCGCCAGGGCCGGTGTATCCTCCCGCCGAGCCACCGGACACGGAGCTGCACACYAGCATCGGGGCGGCGAGCAGCACCTCCACCATCCGGCAGCAGGCTCCAGGGAAGGCCCAAGTGAGTCTGCGGCCGTAGAGGAGCGCCCGGGAGGGAGCCGGGCCAGGCCGTGCGCTCCGTGCGCCAGAACCGGCAGCGGCGGCACCCGGGTGGCCCCGGCACGGCGCGGCTTCCTCGCGATCCCACCGCCTCTGCTGCGGGTAGGGCGCTAAGGAGAGAGAGATGATGGCAGGGCCGGCAGTGACCCGCCCGGGCCCCTCGCGTCCGCCTGCCCGCCCTGTTCAGTCCCGGCCCCGGCCCCGGCCCCGCGCCGCTGCCCGCCCCCTCCCATCATTGCCAGCTGCTCTCACCGGCCGCCTGTCCCGGCGCGTCTCCCAGAGCGGCACGGGGGCAGCCCCGCTCCTCCGTGGCCCCGGGGCGGCCCCGCTCCTCCGTGGCCCCGGGCGGCCCCGCTCCTCCGTGGCCCCGGGCGGCCCCGCTCCGCCGGCGCTGGGGAGGGAGGGCCGGGTCAGGCTGTCCCGGGGTAGTGCCGACGCGGTGAACTCTCGTCTCTCTCGTCCGCTCTTCTCGGGAGTGATGAAAGCGCCGGCCCTGCCAAGGCCCCTGGCCCGACTGAAGGTGCTCAGCTCCTCGTCGCAGGTGCGCGCTCCTTTACAGATGCWGAAAGGAATGTGTAAGCTGTTGGCGTGTGTGCCCGCTGCCCCTCGCTTCCACCGACACCGGCCCCGGACGCCCCGAGGTTTCCCACCTGCCACAGAATATGCTTGTTGGAARGCATCAGAAACTGACTGAATTTAACCAATTAAATTTTCACAATTTTATAAGTTCTACTTTATCCTGTACTGTGATTTTTGCTGAAAGTGTTCTTCATTTGGCTTTTCTGCTACCTCGTGCCTCTCTAAACTTCAGTCGTGCCTCTCTGTTCCCTTATGAAAACCCAGTGCGAGCCTCTCTGGGCCTGCTCTAACTCCCCTAAACCCACCCTGTGATGCAGTGACTGCACCTCCACGCAGCACTTAAGATGCAAGTTCACCAGCRATTTACATCACAGGAAAACAACTGTCTGTGTCTTGTCCTGGCAATGCACAGCATTTTGTTGCTTCTCCAGCTTCCCCATCACAGAGCTCATGTCTCCATGTATGGTCACTTAACACCTTGGGATCTCTCCTGCAGTGCAACTGTCAGGTTCCAGTTCAGCAGTTGGCAGACCACGTTCTGGTAATTCTCTCTAGATACATTACCTTACATTTAGCCATACAGAACCAAATAGACCTTTTTTGTGTCGATTTGGTGGAGATCACTTCAGACATTATGATGTGACCTTTATATTGACAATAACGTCCTGCTGCTAGTCTGTCCTCCCAGCCCAGTAGGCCCCTTAGCACAGCAGCCACCACCTGCCAGCAGAGGAGGTGATGAATTACTCCTGCGGTTATTGGTGGTGTCTGGAGTGAATGCAAGTGTCTGGGATCTCACCCCTGCATAAGTGTCAGCACTTCTCAAGGCTGGTAAGGACAGAGCTGATTCAGGAAAGGGAAAAAAGTAAACAGCAGGACAATTCAGAAATGCAGAGGAAATACAGAAAACTCCACATTCAGAGGAAATGCTTTTATTCAAGAATTTGACCAAACACTGCCTGTGAAATCTCTTTGCTTTTACAGCGAAAGAAATTGTGAAGACATACTTACTTTGCATTAAGGAAAGCATGTGTTTTTGGGGGAACAGTTACACTGTAACATCTCAGACACAGTACTTGAATATGTGTCCTGMGAGGTCACAATTTGTCTTTAAGATGCAGAGATAAATTTCCTCCATCTGTAAGACTGGTGGCAACAGTAAGACTGTTTCACCTTTCTGTCCTTGCAGGAACAACAGCAATAACCCTAAAGACTTATATGTGAAAAGCCTATGAAGTGCACCTCAGCACTGTGGGAAAACACTCTCCTCAACATTTCACCTGATCCCACAAAGGACTGGAGATCTGAAAATGCATCTTAAATTTTACTTAGGTTGAGTATAAGAGAGAAAGAGAACAAAACAAAAAAAAACCCCCTTGTTTCAACGTCCAGTTCAGATAGACCAGACAGGAGCTGTGTGCTAAGGTAGAAAATGGGGAATCCGTAGGAAGCTGGGGACAAGGACTATGGAGATAGTGCAGATGCTCAGTAGTGAGGCTGTTGCACACACTTTTTCATCTGCATATGTTGCATCACTCATGTTCACGTGCCAGATCACAAGCCTCCTTGCTGGATGAGTTTAAAAGCTTTAACAACCCTTTGTGAACTTCTAGTGTCATGTACAGTACCATGTTGCAYAGGAGAGCTTTTAACTGACATGAAAGGGACATGAAGAACTAAGTTGAATAATCATGAGTCACAAGGGATGAAATGTGTGTCTTATGTAGAGTGTTGCTGCTGCTCATCCAACAAARTGGAATAAAGCTTTCTTTGGATTTGTGTGTGAATTACATGTTCAAATACTGAGCTGGGAAGTACTGCTCTGTTGATTTAGAGATGTGTTCAGTGTTTACTAGGGTGTTGCTGTTAACAAATGAGGTACAAACTTCAAAGTATTGTAGAAGTGAGTCAATATTATTCCATTTCTGTTGCTATAATGAGAAATCTTAAAARCATGCCTTGTGTCGCTTCACTCCTGCTCAAAATACTGTAGCTGAACTTGGTCAGCATTGTCTTCTGGGTTCCTGTTCTTACTGTAACAAATAGCAGTCAGAACAACAGAACAATAGGAGGCCGAGGATTCTTATATTAATCTTCACCACTATTTTGGCTTCTCTTTGTAATTATCTTTTAAATTATTATTTTTGGCTTCTTTGTTTCTGGCTACTTCTGATGTCATTGGTGCACTAAGGGAGGAAAGGTCCTGGTTTGACTTGCCATGGACCAAGAGCTCTGGTCTGGTTCAGTGCCCTCCCTAGGAACTTGGAGGGTAAAGTGGTAGGAGCAAGTAATGAACCGCCTTGTATTTCTCCAGCCTGAGGCAGCTGGGAGCTGTAGCACAATCACTGCTGAACACCACAACCAGATTTATTGACTGTCCTASATAAATAAATAATCACAGGGACAGTGAGTGCAGCACGATGACGATACAGCAGTACTGTAGAAAAGAACTGGAGGTTATTGTGAATGACAAACTGAACGCAAGTCCACAATGTCATCCTGTTGCGAAAAAAACTAACATTGCTAGGGTGTATGAACAGGAATGTCACATGTAGGACGCGTGGAGAAATTCTTCTGCCCCTGCTTCAGCRCTGACTTGGCCTCAGTCTTGCACACTGTGTTTCCAGAGGTGAGTGGATCAGCTGGATGGGATTCAGAAGAAAGCAAAAGAAATTTCTAGAAATACAACCTATGAGAAAAAGATTGATCACAGCCATCTCATTTGAAATAACAAGTGTTTGTTAACAACTTGCAAGCTTGTTAATAGAGAGATGTCTAAACACCTCTAAACTTTAATCTAAACTTGTAAAAAACTGCTGTCAAGAGCAGGGAAATGTTCACTCTGTCTGCTGTTGGCATGGTCAGGAAACAGAGAGTTTAGCTTGAAGCAAAAGGAATGTATTTCAGGCACCCTCAATGTTTCTCACACACACTCCAACTCCACCATTTTATAAGGAGATGAGCATTTTTTTCAGGATTAGATTAGTCARGCAGTTGGTAGGTTTCCATCACTGGGCCTCAGATTCAGTCATGAGAAGGCGGGCCTGTCTTTGTGAACACAGGAAGGAAGTGCTTGGTGCTGCCCATGCCACCCACTGCGAGCTCACAGTCTCATCTCACCCCACAAAGTCACTGTGCCCCTTTCCACCCCACCTCCATTGGTTAGTCACTGTCCCAGTGGCTCCAAGGCCATTGGAGGACAGCTGCTACAACACAGCATGCAGCARTTCAAGTCTCTGAAGTCATAAGTCAAACACAGGATATGCACTTACATGGATAATGTTCACCTGGATGTAAACAGACACGAGTCTGGATGAGGTGTTTTCTTTCATCCGACCTGTACTCAGAAACRCGTAACACTCACACTTTGTGGAACATTCCTTTCAGCATCTGTAATAGGACTTGCAGGTTTTTCATTGTGGCTGTTGGGCGTGTAGCTCACGGGTGCTTCCAATCCCTGACGAACCTGGCGGGCAGTGTGTCTGKCAGCGTGCTTGCAATGGACCCAGTGCTCAGGCTGAGCAAGCAAAGGCCCCGTACCTGCCTAACTCTGTCCCCTCCCAGCACCATAGTGCTCCATGGCTGGGGAGAGCAGTCTGCCGTGCCCAGAACAGCTACTATCAGGTTGCCGCTGTGCATTTTCAGGTGCTGGTGTTGTGGGAGGCCCACAAGATGCCATAGTCATGAAAGCATTTGGGTTTTATATTCTATAGTTTTCTTGATGAAGGGAAATGGCAAATAGTAGGAGACRGTGCTCGTTAAGGTATGTTAATGCAGCTGTTCTCAATCTGCCCAGGACTTGCAGAGGAGAGCCCTACCAGGAGCCTACGTAGTGTCACTGTCCTTGCTGTAATGCCCTCCATTTGTGCACTTTGGCAGCCACCTTGTTCCAAAAGAAATGCAGAGACCAGACAGCCCCCAGATGCCAGTTCTCAGCTTTCCAAACCCAGCTCACCCAGGTAGCAAAGGCATCCTGCAAATCACTTGCAGTACACAGGGTACTTTTCCAGAACAGGCATCTCTAGTTAGACTGTGCAATTTCAGTGTATTTCAGGTTTTTATTTCTGAGATCAAATGAAAATTGATCCTGAATACAGGCAGATAGATAAACTGTAGCTATGGTAAGTTTTTTAATTACCCTGTTACTGGCTTTGAGCTACTCTTTGTGGATTGTGCTATCTTTCTGGCTCTTAAACGCAGTGACTGCATCGTTTTGGAGAATCTAGCTCGTCTTTTTTTGGAGCTAATTTTTCTGCTCTGATTAGGCTAAGAGGTAACAGGTGCTATGCTCCATTTCACAATTAAGATTGCTGGTGGCACAAGCACCACCATCACTAGATCAGAGACTCATGCACATACATACAGGTTTGTCACAGCAGCCCTGCCCCCACTGGGCTTTAACTCTGAACATATGCATTTTCAGAGTGCCTGTATCACCTGACCTGTCAGGGACAAGTTTTGTGCCTTGCATTTCAGAAAACCTGCTGCAGTATTATAATGATGCTGTCAGAATCGATAAACAGATACAACATTCATGAGAGACATGGAGGTTTTATTTCTGTTTGCTCATCTGAGACCTTAACAACAAATTGATTAAAAAAGGAAACTGGAGAAAGGAAAAACTCMTATAATTGATTATTAAAAGCTGATTCAAGTGGGAATCAGAGGCCTGAGATGAGATTATACACAAACACTGAACTTCTTGGCCCTRTACCAGTGTCCAAAAGGAGCAGACATAAATTGCTGGAAATAAAAGGAAAATATAAGGAGGTAATTAATGAAGTGATTTGTTACTGATCTGGTGGATTTTTATGCGGAATACTAGTTGGGTGTCTGTCCCTGTAGCAGTGAACCCTGAACTGGCAAAACTATCCTTGTGTACGGCCTCCCTGCAGCCTGACAGAGACAGGCTTCGAGAGCAGCAATGCCTGAGCCTGCGCTCCCCTCAAGCAGCTGTTTGCCAGTTCTGCTTTGTGACTGCACCTGAGGCTGGAAGCCAAGCTGCTCCCTCTCACTGTGTTCACCTCTGCTCACAGAAATGGGACTCTGGGAGCCCTGGTACCAGAAAAAAAGCCGTGCCATAAAAATGCTGAAGTTATCACTTGTTTCTCGTTCTACTGGGAARAGGGAGCTGAAGAGGTATGCAACAAGATACCTGTGGGGCTGACCTGCTGAGACAGAGGAGCAAACTCTA